GGGGTTTACAAACTTTTGCGCCTACCATGCGAAGTTTTCCATGTAAACTTTCAGTCTACCATGTAAACAGTGATTTTTGATCATCTTAATCCGACTAAACTCATAACTGAACTAAACAGAAATGGAATTAAGAAGTGAAGTATGCATATATTAGTGGCATTAATGAAGTAAACCGCAATCAAGCCATCACAGTCATGTGGGACTTTTCGCCGCATTTTGTGACAAGATCCACACACTGTGCTGTCATTAAAGGACCGCAGACACAGACACAGACACACACAGACACACAGACACACAGACACACACGCAGAATTTTTTTTTTCGTTCCATTCGACGTGCAGTATTAATAAACACGACACTCTTTCATCAGTCCTACATATTCTCTTTTGTCACAGGGGTATGAATGAAATGTTCATGAGTGAAAGTTAAGCAGTCGAACTGCAGTTGAAGTCAAGAAATTGAAAATGAAACACCCTAAATTACACGAGACTCTGAATAACGTGAATAACGTTAGCCTGGTGATGCAACATTCAAAAAGCACTTCACGTTATTATATTACTGTCTTATTCAGATTAAGGCAAATAACTATTACTGATGTCCATGTAAACGTAGTCAGTAGTCTTCAAAGTAAGTGAAAGATCCAGAAGGGCATCCTGCTGATTTGATTCAGAAGGGCATTTTTTTCGTCAGACGGCTCACCGGTTTGACTTTCATCCATTCAGCGTCATTCATTTTAAAAAGCACCCGGATTATTTTATTTGTAGATGTTTAACTGGAACACATTAACTCTACAGGTGCCTGATAGTTAGCTGTGGAGCTAACGTTAATCATGTTATTCCCTCTAGTGAACGCATAAAAATTGTCACCATAATTTACTCGAGTGCACGCCTCAATGTCTTGCACCCCCCTGTTGGGGCGCACCCCACAGTTTGAAAACCCCTGCCTTAAGTTACCTAAAAGCAACCTTGGACTACTAACATTTTATATGTGCACTTTTCATTGGGATGCTTTGCAAATGCAGTTTTCAGTAAAAATAAAAAACAACAACAACAAAAAAAACACTTATATTTCAATCAGTTTCCGAAACAAAGCTATTGTGGTGACTGTCAAAGACTCGTTACACAGAATACTTTTACTTTCTTGTACTTTCTAATGCACAGAGAACATTATCTAATTTCTCTTCTCCTTTAGCATTACAAAAGGAAACGAATAAACGGAGGAATAAAAAAAGACACAAATAATAAATAAAGATTGTCTTAAAGATGCAACTGAATTTCTGATCGGAAAGTTTCTTTAATTCTGGTTTTGGAAACCAGAATTGTGGATTCATTTTTAAATTCAAAGTTGTTTTTGGTGGTTTCAATATTAGTGCTTTAAGTTCTGGATACAAAGCAAACTAAAATTAATACAAAGAGCACACAAGAATTACAAATCAAATAGGATTCAATGGTGCGTTTCATTTCACTTGATTTTATTTCAGAACATGTAACTTTTTCCCTGCAAACTTTTGTTCAGGTGTTTAGCTGCGATCAAATTAGTACACAGTTGTGAGGAGGTTAAACAGAAGAGGAATAAATGCACAAGAAAAAAGCATTAGAGCAACGACTACTTCTATGCAACAAGCAAGAGTCAGAAGCGTAAAGTTGAGCAGCGCTACCTTGTATATCATGGTATTTCTTTTTTTTTAAATTTAAGCCCTGTCTGATGTCAGGGAGTAATTTTGCACATTCACTCTGGAACACCGCCAGAAAACTGCTTGGGTATGAATGTCGAGAAATGTTTCAAAACATCTCTGCTGATATGTGCGTAGGCATGGGAAGATAACCGTCTTCGAGGTATACCACGGTTTGGAAAAGTCAAGGTTTTAAAAGTCAAAATTTTCTGCTGTATAGTTCCTAAGGTATGAGTATTTTTTTTTTAGGACAGCAGTATCTCCAGCAGAAAAGGTCTTCAAAGATACCATTTTAAATTTTTAAGAAATCTGTGTTTTTTAAACTAATAAAGACAACACAAATCAATAATTCATTTGAATTATTTAGCCTGACATGTTTACTGCGCCAAAATATTTTAAATGTTTCTCAAATTAAAATATATTGCACACAAATGTGGAAAAGGATTTGTTATTTACCCAGACGTTTAAAAAGGATATATTTTAGAGCAGAAATCACAATACCGTGAGACCATAAACCATACCATACCATCAGAATCTTATACCGGTCCATGCCTACATATGCGCTTGCAAAAATCTTCATGGTGTGCTTAAGCCATTAACATTTTAAAAACTTGCGAACAAACTTACAAATGAACGAACAAACAAACAAACAAACAAACAAACAAACAAACAAACATAAATGAATACACCTCCTAATGAAAAGGAAAATTCTTATCCATTTCTCAGTGATTATAAGCAATGTGTTTTGTTGCATTTGAACAAAACAGATTTATTAAATAGATGTATTTATTCAAGTAATATTTTGGTCAACAAACATCTTTAAAAATAGAAAGATAATACATTTCAATTCATGCAAATATTGCAAAAAAAGAAGAAAATTTACAACCAACAAAATGTCAACAAAAATTTATGTTTTTGTTTCTCTTGATTTCTGCTCGTTTAACATTTTTATTCAATATTTGTCTTTAACATATAAATGTGGGGTACTAATTTTCATCGTAAGTTATTTTGTTAGATAAGCTCCAGATTTGGCTTTAGTACTGAATAAACAAATGAATATGCACAAATATAATATTGTAAAGCATCCAATAGAGATCTGTAAGGGGTGTACTTATATATGCAGAGCACTGTAGCTACCTAGATGAACAGACAGAGTGCAGGATGATCTAAATATCACATTGTGTCATTAGTAGAGACAAAAGCTGTGCTCTCAGGTCACTGCTGTGCGTCTGACAGCTCCTTATCTCTGCTTTTTCAAACACATCATCACACTGAATGAACACTGCTCACACTCTTTACTTTATACTATGGTTATAGTAATGTTGAACCCGTGCACTACTTTTCCTGTCAATTATAAAGTCACCATGCAATTAAACTAAGAAAGCTCTTGTTCTCCTCCAGCAGTGACAGTACAGCGTCTATAGTTAAAGTTTGATTAACCAGACGCTTCCAGACTGCTGCTTCTGCTGAGCTTTCTATTTTTTTTTTAATGAAGAGGCTGACAATAGATCTGCTCTGAAACATAGTGAGCTGCTTAACTAGGCAGAGAATTTAGAGAGGACAGGAAAAAAACATTACGCTCATTATGAACACATTCTAATGCAACATTACATCTTTACAATCCCAGAATTCACTGTGACAAGCTCAGTGGAGAGAATTTGAATATATTAGTGTTTTGTTGTCTAAATGTGTCAATTTAATATATATATATATATATATATATCTAAATATATATGCTAGGGGCGACGCAGTGGCGCAGTAGGTAGTGCTGTCGCCTCACAGCAAGAAGATCGCTGTGTCGAATCTCGGCTCGGCTCAGTTGGCGTTTCTGTGTGGAGTTTGCATGTTCTCCCTGCCTTCGCGTGGGTTTCCTCCGGGTGCTCTGGTTTACACCACAGTCCCCCACTGTGTATGAATGAGTGTGTGGATGTTTCCCAGAGATGGGTTGCAGCTGGAAGGGCTGCGTAAAAACGTGCTGGATCAGTTGGTGGTTCATTCCGCTGTGGCGACCCCAGATTAATAAAGGGAATAAGCCGACTAGAAAATGAATGAATGATATATATGCTATTATCATTTCTATTAGCATAACTGCTACTGACAGATATATTCTCATAAACACTTTATTTTTTTCTAGAAAATGATGACATTAAGTGGAAAAAAATAATACGTGTATTGTGTTTTTTTTAAATGATTTAAATTTAATTTATTCTTTGTAAAAAATACTGAATGCATTTTAATGTACAATAAAATACTGCATGGTATAAACTATTTTATTTAAATTTTTTTTTTAATTTTAATTAGGATTGGGCGATATTACTAAAAAATTATCATGATATCGTTCACGTTTAATTTAATTCGATATGAATAATTATCGAATATTTTTTTTCACAATACATTTAGGAATATTAGGATTTTTTAACCACTTTATTTTAACTTACAAACATTCCAACATTACGAAGGCAAAAAGTTTTAATAGTCAAAAACTGACATATTTAAACAAAAACAAAATATCTGATCTCTTTATAATAAAATAAACATATGTGTTAGAGAGACTCTTAAACTTGATGAATAAAATGTTACAAAGTGTGTGCAATAGTAAAGCTTATATACTGTACAATCAAAGCAAACTTTAAGGTGTGAATAATAATGATACAGTAAACCTCAAACTCTTTCAACAACACACATTATGATAATCAAATCTGAGCTTCCAAGTAAAGGAACCAGCTATTGTTATTCAGATAAATACTGCGACATTAAAAGTTGTATGACTATATTACCCTCTATGCTAAAACACTCTTTCAGATGGGGAGCTAGTGGCTGAGGTGCACAAGAAAAGAAACCAAAAAGCCACTCTGGTGACATCCTTACATCCTTTTTCATTTACAATCTTCACACTGCACTACTCGTTTTCGCATGTGTTGTTATTCTGAACTGAAGTGACAAGTGCGTGGATTCCTTGACCATTTTTAGACTTTGCGCTCGCGCTCCCCTGGCCCCTCTTGTAACTAGGTGACCATCAAACAATGACAAAAGGACAAACCATTGCTGCAGCTCTGATACAATTTGAATCATCACTTTATGTCGATCACTGATTAGCACCTGTACTAGAAAGCGCAGCTTCATTCACCATATAGACGTTATACTTTTCCCCATTCAAAACTATATGAGTAACATGTTTTGTGTATTCTGTAGTCTTTGTGTTGAGCCAAGCAAAACTTAACCAAAGCGAGCCGAGCCTTGCCGAACTGTACTGTACCTCCGTGAAGTGCATATTTTTTTTATTGAATATCTGACATACTATCTTATAAATGTGTTCCCATGCATCTACCTTGCAATTTTGTCACTGCATGACATGGTCAGCAGCCGCTCGCCCTGCAGGACCCCATCCCACGTCTGTATGGTGTTGCTGGAGCGCACCGGGATCGTTCCCTCGCCAGACTCGATCTTGGTCCTCAGCTGACCTCTCGCCTTCCGGTTCGGGTGTCTGTCTCCCTGATCTGAGAAGAGCACAGAAAAAAAGATATTAAGTCTCGCTTCACAGTTTCTAGGTTCGCAGTTTCAAGGTTCAAATGCTAATTTAGAGGTTGAAAGTGAACAAATTGTGCTAATTTACACTCACAGTGTTCTGTGACAATATTGAAAATCATGATTGTGATGTTTATTTACATGCCTAATTTCAGGTGGTCAGACAAAGATACATTTTCTTTTAGAAATCCTTCAAATTTTGGTGTCTGGTAATGAAAATTTGCGACCAAATTGGCAAAAAATCTATACCAAAAATACTTTGTAAGAATTGGTTATTATTTTATAAAACAATATAAAGTAATTTTTATCAGATCATTTAAATTATATTGTTTAAAAAATGGCCTTTGTATAGCCATTAAAATCAATGGGATTCATAGCGCAGCGCTTTCTGCCTCCAGTGTGAAAGCAACTTCAGACAGAGCAGAGAATACAGCTGGAGGAAGAGTAAAAAAAGTGTGCTGAAAAACTGCTGGGCAAATCAGCACAGGATAGCCTATTTTAGCTTCTATTTTTGTCAGTTTTTGCTGAAAATGCAATGTTTGGCTGATAATTTTAATAATATGACAAAAAAAGTGCATCCATAGTGTCTGGAATAAAGCAGGTGCAGAGACTGTAATAAAACCCATGCTTTTGTAAAAAATTGCCATTATTGTGTGATATACTTTTTATAAACGGCTAGTTTTCTCAATTCAGATGAGGCTTGAATCCAGAAATAGTAATTCATATTAGTGGATTAGACAGTCAAAGAAAAAATTGTCTCTGACAATCTCCTTTAAGATATTTTAAATTTTATTGTTTAAAAAAATTAAGTTAGTCGACGGAGCGCTTCTCTGGCCTTTGCATGGCCATTGAAATTAATGGGTTTCATAACGCTGTGCTTTCTGCCTCCAGTGTGAAAGCTGCTTCAGGCAGTGCAATAAATAAAGCTGGAGGAAAAGTAAAACAACAGCGCTAATAACTGCTGGGCAAAATGACACAGCATAGGCTATTTCAGCTTACATTTTTGACAGTTTTTGCAGAAAATGCTAATTTTGTCTGCTAATAAGGCGGCAAATAAAAAAAATTGGTGCATCCCTAGTGTCTGGAATAAAGCAGAGAGTTTAATAAAAACCATGATTTTGTACAAGATTGGCTTTATTGTGTGATATGAATAAATAATGTTCATAAATGGCTAGTTTTCTCAATTCAGATGAGGCTTAAACCAGGAATAGCAATTCATACAAGTGGATTAGACAGTCAAAATAGGAAAATATGTCTGACAATCTCCTTTAACCAACAAAAAAGATTTAATCAACCAATAATAACACTAACATAAGTAATAATTGTGTTTTTTCTCTCTCTCTCTTGCTTCAGCTCAATAATTATATTAGCATACAAATGCAAGTAAAATTATATCAACAATACGGTTAAGAGCAGAATTAACCAGGCTACAAGGAGAGTGAACAAAAGCCTATCATAATTATTCATTTACAAATGATGAATATATACAATTTTGGTAAAAATTTACACAACATTTTGGAAGCCAGTCAACTTGAAATAAAAAAAGCTAAATAATATCCATACTAATGTTAATGAAATATTATTATTTTAAATCATTTAACAGTCAAAAGATCGCCAATCAATCAAAAGATGTAATCAAACAATAGCACTAATGTAAAGAGCAATTGTGTGTTTTTCTTTGGCTTCAACAGCGGGAATAATTATATTGGCATGTAAAGGCAAGCAAAAGGGATTTAAATATGACATTCAAGAGCAGAATTAATCAGGACACAAAGGCAGCTAATTAAAAACGCTGATGAAATTTGTTTTGGAAATGCAGTCGCACAGTGGAGTGACATTGTAATGAAATGGGAGCTGATCATAAGAGGACCCGTCCTCATCTCAATTCAACAACTGTTGAGTTTTTTTTTTCAAAGTGTTTGAGTAAAATGAAGTGTGGATGATGAGCGCTTCTTGGTTTGTGTCTCACCCTCGACGCCGGCCTCGTGAGGAGAGAAGATTCGAGCGTCTCCACAGGGTGAGGTGCTGATGTACAGATGAAACTGAACGCTGTCCTTCAGTCTGTAGCCGCGCTTCTCACACTGCATGAATATGGACTTTTGGTGCTCTTCTTTATTGTTGCTACATTTACAAGCAGTAGAAAAAAAGTCAAATCAGTCAAGGCATGACTGTGATTATTTGGGAATATTACAAAAAATAAATATAAAATCATCTATTAGGATGTTAACATTAGATATACCTGTAACATGAAATCATAATACAAAAATTATTTTATATACTTGCATAAACTAATAAATATTAATCATATTATTTTATTTAGTTAAACATGATACAAAACTAATTCTCTTGGAATTTTAAGGCTTAACTAGGCTAAATATGCAAGTTAGATTAATTAGTCAAAAAAATCCCCAAGAGGCTTAAAAGTACTTTACCGTTAAATATTTACCTTTAAATGTATTACCTTTGGATTATAATAAAAAAAAGAAAAACATAAAAAATATTTTTCCCAAATATTGAACCCTAACCCAATTAATTTAAATTATTATAAAAAAATTATATATATATATATATATATATATATATATATATATATATATATATATATATACACACACACACACACACACACACATACACAAACACAAACATTTTGTTCAGTGGTGTGAGGAGTCAAATCTAAAACTTAATGCAACAAAAACTGAGGATATGATTATTGATTTTAGAAGGAACCATACAGCAGCTGAGGTGACTAATATTAGAGGTCAAAAAGTAGAATGTGTGGAGAACTACAAATATTTGGTTACCATTATTGACCGATTTTTAAACTTTGAGGCAAACTGTGATGCTGTGTGCAAGAAGGGGCATCAGCACCTATTTTGTCTAAGGAAACTATCACGTTTTTACATTGGCCCCAATATGCTTACTCTTTTTTTTATCGTGCTTTTATTGAGTCTATTCTATCCTTCGCTCTGGTGGCATGGTTTGGAGGTCTAGCTCTCAAAAACAGGAATAGACTGAGCCAGGTTGTTAGGTGGTCTAGCAGGTGGTCTTTTACTGATAGCCCATAACATTAGTAGCTGTAGCTCTCATTCTCTGTCTGAGGAGTTTATCCTACTCCCTTCGGGTTAAAGGTTTTAGATGCTTTTTAGTAGGACAAAACAGTTCAGGAATAGCTTTGTCCCATCATCTATTGTCGCTTTGAATAAATTTTAATTTTTTATAAGGTATAATTTGTATGTGTATATGTGGGTATGTATGTGTGATTTAGTTGTTTGTATCAAATGCCAAACTTTGCTGCAAAAATCTATTTACCAGTACTAATAAAGTCAACTAACTAACTAACTAACTAACTAACATATACACACACACACACACATATATATATATATATATATATATATATATATATATATATATATACACACACACATATACACACACACACACAAAGACACACACACACACATATATATATATATATATATATATATATATATATATATATATATATATATATATATATATATATATATGCATATATATATATATATATATATATATATATATATATATACATACACGCACTATAAACATTGAAAAATGTTTTCCAAGAGGTTGAAAAATTTAACCTTATTTAAAAATTATTGGCCTATTATTTAAAATAAATAAATAAATAAATACATTTCTTATTAAAAATATACGTATTAAAAAATCCTTTTTAATGTTGCTACATTTACAAGCAGAGGAAAAAAATCTTCATCTATCACATATGTAAATATTTTGGAATATTACAATTACAAAGATATAAATCATATTATAATTATATTATATTACAAAGATATAAAAGTATCTATTAGGATGTTAATACACACACACACACACACACACACACACACACACACACACACACACACACACACACACACACACACACACACACACACACACACACAACTGATTTAACTGACTTTCTCCAGAAGAAAAAATATTATCAGACATACTGTGAAAATTTACTTGTTCTGTTAAAAATAATTTGGGAAATATTTAAAAAGAAAAAAAATTCAAAGGGGGGCTAATAATTCTGACTTCAACTGTATACAAATTTATTATTATTATTATTATTTTTAATATATTTAGATTTACATTTATTTCAATCACAACATTTGATTGTTTAATAAATTGCAAGACTTTTTATGACCGTATTTGTAATACAAAACAATAAATTAAAATCTGTTTATGCATTTAATTTGGCTTCCTGCAAGACTAAACATCCATCATGCTATGATGACAAATGCGATGCGCGCACACACACACACACACACACACACACACATGAATGCGGCGTCTCACCTTAAGAAGTGCTCCAGCTGCATGTAGAGATACCTGATGAGGGAACGACGAGCAATGATTTCAGCGTGACAGTCGTTGAGCGCCAGGCCGCGGTCGCTCATATACTCGCCGTTTATACACTTGGTTCCTGTGGAGACGCAGATGACCTGAGCGTCCTTCACATCAGTGCCTGAGAGCAAAAAAAAAAAAAAAAGGTAACAAACACGCACACACACACTCACTCACTCACTCACTCACTCACTCACTCACTCACTCCTACTTCACTAGGAATGCCCGGACTTTAAAAATGTGAGAAAATGTAAAAAACCCCTCGAATAATAAGCCTTTATCAAGAGATTAACCATATAAAGTCACTTCATTTACACTGATTACAATATCATTCATTCATTCATTCATTCATTCATTCATTCATTCATTCATTTTAAAGGGATATATTTAAGTTCTCTCATAATTTACTGACCCGTCATTTATGAAAAACCTGTTTGGCTTTCATTCTTCTGTTAAACAGAAAAGAAGATATTTGGAAAAATATTTTGAGACATCTGTAACCATTGACTTTTCCTACAATGGATGATAATAGTTACAGGTTTTCAGCATTCTTCAAAATATCTTCTTTTGTGTTGAACTGAAAGAAACTCATAATGCTTTATAACCACCTGAGGGTGAGTAAATTAAATTGTAACAAAATATTTGGGTGAACTATCCCTTTAAGCTGAACTACTAATGATTCGTTTTGACTGATTTACAGAATAATTAGGTGGGAAAACTCAAATGTTCAGTGTAATTTTTATTTTTAATTGTGAGGAAACTTTTTTTGAATCTCGTTCTTGGCTCTGAACTCTACACAGACTACTGTACCTGTAGTCATAACGACCCCAGCTAGAACTTTCCGGCGTGCGTGTGGAGATGTGAAGTTGTCTGTGAGCTCGCTGAATTTGTCCACTACCAGACGAGAAACAGCATCAGCAAGAACCTGGTAAAGAGCACACTGATGTCAGACCTCACACTGACAGCAATGCTTCCAGCAATAACACACAAACACGCACGGAACACACAATACACACAGGAATAGAATACTCAGAACAATACTGGCTATTCATGAATAAATTTAACATCAAGATAAGCCACCGCAGGCAAAAACAGTTATTTCCATGCACATGTCAATTCTAAGATTCTACAAAGTTGTATATGCATTATTCTAATGTACAGAAAACATCCCAATTACATAATCAGCTTTAATTATTTACAAAACACATCTTTAAAGCCTTTTACCTTAGTTTTTTCTCCTGCACTGAGCCACCAAACACTTACATACACCAGGATTAACAATTTTATGCATATATGTATTCTGAAGAGGGTTGACACGGTGGCCCCGACTGTGCCAGTTGGCATTTTTGGGTGGAGTTTGCATGTTCTCCACGTGTTGGCGTAGGTTTCCTCGTGTGCTCCGATTTACCCCACAGTCCATAGACATCAAGTACAAGTAAATTGAATGAACTTAATTGGCCATAGTGTACGAGTGTGTGTGTGAATAAGTGTGTATAAATGTTTTCCAGTACTGGGTTGCAGCTGGAAGGGCACCTGCAGCAGCTGGAATAGTTGGTGGTTCATTCCGCTGTGGTGACAACTTATGAATAAAGGGACTACGCAGAAGGAAAATGACTGAATGAATGAATTCTGAAGGTTTGTTTTTCTGGCAGGTTGCAGTCTGTCCTGAAATGTGCTGTGGTAAAAAGCATTCTCAAATCCTATTTGCAAAAACCTTCAACTCTAACATAAACTCTTAACATTTAATAATAATAATACTAGTACAGTGTTGTTCAGCCACTAAAAATATTTGGCAAAGGATTGGCTATTGTCAAGTTCATGGAGTAGGGCTAGAGTTCAACTTTGTAGATAAAATCTTTTATTGTTTTTTTTTTTTTATAAAAAGTCTTAAAATGTATTTAAAAAAATCACATAATGTAAATAAGTTGTCATTTAATAAGCCTATGTGAATAACTCACTTTTGGCAAAAATGTCAGATAGAACCTTATAATTGTAAAGCCTCGCACACACGGAACACTTGTCGTTTGCGTTTATTGTCAGCGTTTTACAATACGTTTTTCCGGATTCAAACACAATCGATTTTTACTGGAGTGAAGCAGAAGAGAATGCAAAAATCACTCCTTGGCGTTAGATGGCGCAACACAACTTTAAGCTTGTTGTTAAAGCTACTGGTGACTCGAACAAGCATGGATGGTTCAGCAGCTCTAGCGATGAAGAAATGAATATTGTTCTCCAGTGCAATAAGCAGCTCCACGTTCATATAACCTCAGGGCATCTTCTTCAGCGTGCGCTCGCACTGACAGTTTGCGCTTGAGTGCCTCCAAGTGCTGTTTATTGTTTCTTCAGCAGCTCCGTGCACGTAAACAAAAGTGCCAATCTGATTGGAGAAGGGTTTAACGCGGCACATCAAAACAAAAATCCAAGCATGAGGCGTTTTTTTTTTTTTTTAAATGACCATTTATGTGTGCCATTTTGGGCGTTGGTGTGCACGATCACATTGACGCCCTTTTTTTATCCACGAGGTGTTAAATGTCGACGGAAACGCGAGTAAAAAAACGTCTCGGTGTGCATGGGCCTCAAGGTGACGAAATTAATAATTTGGCAAATAATTTGATAACTGATGTCCATGTTAACATAGTGATTGTCATTCTCCCCTGCATCTGTGTGTTGTTTCGCCTCTGTGAAAATCAGCACGTGTTTGAACCGAAACTTCCAATTTTATGCAAACCCTTCCCTCTTTTACCACTCATTCCCACCTAAACAGAGCTGGACTCACCCACTTTCCTGACTTTTTTTCATAGTAGAGGTGTGAAAACACCCTGTTGAGACAAGGAGGCTTTCATGGCCCTTTAAACCACATTATAAAAATGATTTTAAGGGTGTACTCATACTATGCTATCCGAACCGTGCCCAGGCCCGTTTCCCAGATCGTTTGAGAAGTGTGAGTGCTCTGAATTGGGTCAGGCACGTTCACTTGGCTGGCCCTGACCCAGTTTGAAGAGGTGTGTCAGAGTTCGGTTTACTTGGGCTTTGGCGCGGTACACTTAGGTCGTACTCACACTAGGTACAGTTGCCTCGAACCGGGCCAAAGCACGCTTGTCCCCCCTCCCGTCTCCCCCGACGGCCCGCGCTCACACCACAAACGGGCCTCGGCACGTTTACGTCATCGCTGCTGCGCTGTTTAGTGAGAAGCGCTCTCTCACTCGGCAGCACACTGGAGATTTCTTTAGTTATATCGTTTCAATCGTTTGATTTGCAGTGACATGCAGTCAAATGTTTCGCCAAACAGTCCTTAGGGATGCGGGGACACGCAGTCAGATATTTAGCCGAACAGATCCGCCACTTTTGGCGCCCATAAACAATCATAAAGCTCTCGTGCTGCAGGAATGAGGAGGTCTGCTGAAGGCGCGCAGCTGTCGTGCAGTGAGGGGTTTGCGTCTTTAATAAGCTACAGCAGTTTGTGTTCACTGAACAATAAGAATGATTAATAAATCAATATGAAACAGCCCCTTAAAAGTCACGTCTCGCTTTCAGTTTCGGGCTTTGGCGCGTTTTGCACTCACACACAAGCGTACCGCGCCAAAGCCCAAGTGAACCGCGCTCAGGCACACCTCTTCCAACTGGGCAAGGGCTGGCCAAGTGAACCGTGCTTGAGCCCGATTCAGCACGCACACACTTCTCAAACGATCCGGAAAACGGGCCTGGGCACGGTACGGATGGCATAGTGTGAGTAGGCCCTTATAGTGTGAGTGCAAAATGTGCCTGAGCCCGAAACTGAAGACGAGACGTGAATTTTACAGGATTGTTTCATTTGGATTTATTAATCATTCTCACTGTTCAATGAACACAAACTGTCATTGTTTATAAAAGTCGCAAACCCCTCACAGCTGAGCCTTCAGCAAACCTCCTAATTTCTGCAGCACAAGGACTTTATGATTGTTTATCAGCATCAAACGTAGCGGATCTGTTCGGCTTGATATTTGACTGCGTGTCACTGCATCTCAAACAACTACAACGATATAACTAAAAAATTCTCCACTGTGCCGAGTGAAAGCGCTTACTGAACAGCGCATCATCAATGACGTAAGCGTGCCCAGGCCCGAATGTAATGTGAGTGTGGGCCATCGGGGGAGACGGGAGGGGGGACAATCGTTCCAGGCTTCAGGGTTCAAGGCAACTGCACATAGTGCAAGTACGCCCTAATAGCTCCCCCTTAAACAAAAACTTGTTTCAAAAGTGTACCATCCATTTTCTGATGTTTGACAATTAAAGAGCCCATATTATGGGTTTTTGAAAATGCCCTTCCATGTAGTGTGTAACACAGCTCTAAGTGAAGTGAAGTATCCAGCTAAGGCTTAAATCTGTAAGAGTACAGTGTTTAAAACGGTTGATTCATCTATAAAAGAGTCGACTCATAGTGCTTCAAACGAGTCGCCTTGATAACGAGTCATTAGGTGTTTCGCCTTGACGTACTAACGAAAACAAGTTATTCACGTGCACGAGCAAACCCAGGAGATTTGAAACCTTCGGCCCCGCCCTCTAACACAGAAACCCAGACACAAACACACAAACCCACAAACACACACACACAAACATGCCGGTCGATTGAAGTCACACTGCAGATGGATATTATCGAGTCTCTACCCAAAGATGAAACCTCAGCATTATAACAAAGCAGTTGGAAACTACTGGAAACTTCTGGAAACAACATGCTACAAAGAATACTTCATCTGCGTTTCTTAAAGGAAGGATCAGTAAAGAGTAACTTACTGATGGACGTCAGGATGGGTTTCTTCCTCCATTTCTCAAGTGTAAGTACATGTGATTAAAGTTGTTGCCTCGTTACTCTAGCTTGCAAATGTATTTAGTTGTGTTTTGTTACTTGTAACCGCGTGTACTGTATCAGGTTAACTCGCTATATTCTCATATCGCGTGCAAAGTCACGTTAAAAACGCGACGCGTGCTGCTATGTGTGTGTGTCTGTGAAAAGAGCAGAGTAAGACAAGCTAGAAGATCTCCTCAACAGTTTGTGGAGTTTTTGCTCAATAAAATAGTCAGTCGTCTGTATTTTCAAGTCCATTGTCTGTATTTACATTGATCCACTGGCAGCTAAAATCCACACCTTACACTATCGAGCGTGTATGAACTGTGATTACTTTTATATTGCTGATTAGCTGTTGGGCATTTCACTCTCTCACTGAAAGCAGTCGACCAATCGCAACAGACTTTCATTGGTCCAATCAGCGCAGATTGGCTTCGCGCTAAGGAGGGGTTTGGTAACAAATGAATCACTGGACGATTCATATTGGAGTCGCTGGGATAATTAGGTAAAAATAAATGCAGATTATAAGACCATGAAAGGGTTTTTTGACCTTGCATGCATATTAGACTGTTGTTGGAGACCCTTACAACCAAGATAAGACATGTATAATATGGGCTCTTTAAGTCAAATCTCTAGCTTTTTTACTGAAAAACATAACCAACATTCTACATTCAGTAGAACAAAATAAATTTTTAATGTAACGAGCACCATGAAAACCCAGCTGAACATTCCGAAGGCTCTATGCCCCCTCTATGGATTACTGTAAAGCAGAATTTACTGTAGACCTCAGATTCACCTTCTGCTGCTGCAATATAATATCAATATTTCATCGAAAGCCTTCAGGCACCTCGGTGATTCCTTTCCGCTAACAGTGCCCTCCACTTCACATTCCTTACGCTCCTGGTTAATATGCTGGAAAATGATTATGCCAGGGACAAAAATCAATGGGCGAATGAGCATGAATTAGAGACATTAGTCTAACATTACTTCCCAAATACTCGGAAGTCAGTCGGTCGGAGACGGCAAATGGGCGTTTGAAGCGGAGCGCACTTCTGATATATTATCAGGAGACACTGAAATCTACCCCTGAACAGGCGGGCTGC